TGTCTTCCTTGAAGGTCTGATAGAACTAAAGCCGTCTGGTCCCGGGCTTTTCTTTGTAGGGAGACTTTTAATGACTACTTCTATTTCTTTTGGGGTTATGGGACTGTTTAGATAGTTTGTCTGGTCCTGATTTAACATTGGTAACTGGTATTTGTCTAGGAAATTGTCCATTTCATCCAAATTTTCCAATTTTGTTGAATATAGGCTTTTGTAGTAGGATCTGATGATTTTTTTAATTTCCTCAGTTTCTGTTGTTATGTCACCCTTTTCAGTTCTGATTTGATTAATTTGGATACTGTCTCTCTGCCCTCTGATTAGTCTAGCTAAGGGTTTATCTATCTTGTTGATTTTCTCAAAGAACCAGCTCCTGGTTTTATTGATTCTTTGGATAGTTCTTTTTGTTTCAATTTGGTTGATTTCAGCCCTGAGTTTAATTATTTCCTGCCTTCTACTCCTCTTGGGTGTATTAGCTTCTTTTTGTTCTAGGTCTTTCAGGTGCTCTGTCAAGCTGTTAGTGTATGCTCCCTCCAGTTTCTTTCTGTAGGCACTTAGAGCTATGAATTTTCCTCTTAGCACTGCTTTCATTGTATCCCAAAGATTTTGGTATGATGTGTCATCATTTTCATTAAATTCTAAAAAGTTTTTAATTTCTTTCTTTATTTCTTCCCTTACCTGATTATCAAGGAGTAGGGTGTTGTTCAGTTTCCATGTGATTGTGGGCTTTCCATTCTCTTTGTCATTTTTGAAGACCAGCCTTAGACCATGGTGATCTGATAGGATGCAGGGAATTATTTCAATTTTCTTATATCTGTTGAGGCCTGTCTTGTGCCCAATTATATGGTCTATTTTGGAGAAGGTACCATGAGGTGCTGAGAAAAAGGTATATTCTTTTGCTTTAGGGTGAAATGTTCTATAGATATCTGTTAAGTCCATTTGGCTCATAACTGCTGTTAGTTTCACTGTATCTCTATTTAGTTTCTGTTTCCATGATTTATCCATTGCTGAGAGTGGGGTGTTGAAGTCTCCCACTATTATTATGTGAGGTGCAATGTGTGTTTTGAGCTTTAGTAAGGTTTCTTTTATGAAATTCGATGCTCTTGTATTTGGCGCATAGATATTCAGAATTGAGAGTTCATGTTGGTTGACTTTTCCTTTGACAAGTATGAAATGCTCTTCCTTATCCTTTTTGATAGTTTTAAGTTGAAAGTCGATTTTATTCGATATTAGAATGGCTACTCCCGCTTGTTTCTTAGGACCATTTGCTTGAAAAATTGTTTTCCAACCTTTTACTCTAAGGTAGTGTCTGTCTTTGTCACTGAGGTGGGTTTCCTGTAAGCAGCAAAAAGCTGGGTCCTGTTTGCGTATCCAGTCTGTTAGCCTATGCCTTTTTATTGGGGAATTGAGTGCATTGATGTTAAGTGATATTAAGGAGAGGGTGTTGTTGCTTCCTGTCATTTTTGCTAATAGTGGAGACATCGTTTGTGTGGTTATCTTCTTTTGAGTTTGATGGAAAAGGATTATTTTCTTGCTCTTTCTAGGGTATGATTGCCCTCCTTGTATTGGAGCTTTCCTGCTATTATCCTTTGTAAAGCTGGCTTTGTGGGAAGATACTGTGTAAATTCAGTTTTGTCATGGAATATCTTAGTTTCTCCATCTATAGTAATTGAGAGTTTTGCTGGGTAAAGTAGCTTGGGCTGGCATTTATGTTCTCTTAGGGTTTGTATGATATTTGTCCAAGATCTTCTGGCTTTTATAGTATCTGGTGAGAAGTCAGGTGTAATTCTGATAGGTTTGCCTTTATATGTTATTTGGCCATTTTCCCTAACTGCTTTTAAAATTCTTTCTTTGTTTTGTACATTTTGTGTCTTGATTATTATGTGACGGGAGGTATTTCTTTTTTGATCTAGTCTGTTTGGCGTTCTGTAGGCTTCTTGTGTGATTATGGGCATCTCATTCCTTAGGTTAGGGAAGTTTTCCTCAATAATTTTGTTGAAGATATTTACTGGCCCTTTAAGTTGGGAATCTTCACTCTCATCTATACCTATTATCCTTAGGTTTGGTCTTCTCATTGCGTCCTGGATTTCCTGGATATTTTGAGATAACAACTTTTTGCATTTTGCATTTTCTTTGATAGTTGTGTCAATATTTTCTAAGGTATCTTCTGCACCTGAAATTCTTTCTTCTATCTCCTGTATTCTGTTGGTGATGCTTGTGTCTATGACTCCTGATTTCTTTCTTAGGTTTTCTATCTCCAGGATAGTCTCCCTTTGTGCTTTCTTTATTGTTTCCACTTCCATTTTTATGTCCTGGATGGTTTTGTTCAATTCCTTCATCTGTTTGTTTGTGTTTTCTTGTAATTCTTTAAAGGATTTTTGTGTTTCTTTAAGGACTTCATCCTGTTTTCCTGTGTTCTCCTCAAGTTTTTTGATAGTGTTATTTACTTCCTTCTTGTAGTCCTTCTTGTAGTCTAATTATCATTAGAAGTGATTTTAGATCTGGTTCTTGTTTTCCTGGTGATATGGGGAGTTCAGGACTTTCTAATGTGGGAGAACTAGGTTCTGATAATGGCAAGTACCTTGAGTTGCTGGTGCTTGTGTTCTTGCACTTGCCTTTCACCATCTGGATCACCTTTGTGCTATCAGTGCTGTCTCTGACTGGGGCCTGTCTTTCCTATTATCTAGGTTGTGTCAGAACTGTTTGGGATGGGTTTTGCTGCTTGAGTTAGAGCTGAGGCCCAAGATGTGCTCGGTGCTCAGGTGGAAACCAGAAGGGGCCGGGGCTCCGGGTCAGGAGTGGATTCCTGGGTCCCAGTTGCTCCCTGAGTGGGGGTGAGCACTGCCACCTCCTAGCCTAAGAAACTGCTTGGCACAGAGGTCCTGTGAGCCCCGCTTCCTCTGGATTCTGTGAGATTGGGTGCAGAGCTGACTCTCGGGGTCTGCTCCGGCACAGACCGGAAGGAACCCACGCTCCTGGCCTGGAGTGAACTCCTGGGTCCCAGTGGGTCCTAGCCGCTCCCTGTTTGGGGGCAAGCACTGCCACATCCTAGCCCAAGACCCTGCTTGGCACAGAGGTCCTGCAAGCCCCGCTTCCTCTGGGTTCTGCGAGATTGGGTGCAGAGCTGCCTCCCAGGATTCGCAAGTGCTCGGGCCCAGACCGGATGGAGCCCGCCCTGGGCCAGGAGCGAATTCCTGGGTCCCAGTGGGTCCCGGTTGCTCCCTATTTGGGGTGAGTGCTGCTTTTTCCTTACCTGGGATGCTGCGTGAGTTCAAGCTCCTGGGAGTCCCTGTTTCTCTCGGTTTTCTGGGGTTGGGTATGATCACTGTTTCTAAGGGCTTATCATGATGACCAAAATATCTGAGCCTACTACCCTGTCCTTGCCAAAGTCATTTTTAAGTCTGAAGCCTACTTCCTTGTTCTAGTCTAAAATTTAGACTCCTGCCTGAAATTACTTCTTTGTTCTAGCCTAATTTCAGATTCCTGCCTGAAGCCTAATCCCTTGTCCTTGGCCAATGTCATATTCTTGCAAAGCAGCCCATTTACTTGTCCTTGGCACATGTCATATTATTGCCCAGGAGCCTTAAAGGTATTCTCTCTCTTCCTCTTTTTTCATTTCATTAACAAGACAGAACCTTAGGTCATTCAGACAAGACTGCCTTCCTTACCCATCATGGACTATGCATTATACACAGCAAGGCATTTTGGTCTTAGGTTGGTAAGGCTCTGGGCAGAATCTTACCAACCCTTGGCTTGCAAGCCTGTTAATTTAATAACACTGTCTAGGGGGCTGCTTTCAGGTTCAAGCCATGTACTTGGCTGCCAACATGTTGATGTTGTTAAAGACAAGCTTTAACATAATGGGCAGGAATAAAAGTATTCCAAGGACAAAAAGGGCTAGCATGATCAAGCTATATATGCCATTCTTGAAGCTTGACTAAGATAGAAATATTCACCTCAGGCCATGGATAACTTTATCTGCAGTATTTACCACATCAAAGCTCAGTAGAGCAGCATTCTTGAAATTCATAAGCACCCTGTGTATCATTAAAACATTGAGAAAGGTTTTAGAATTATGCCAAATACATTGCATGTGTCATTAAACTTATTCCTAATTATAATGACTACTACTGTAAATTTTAGAACTACCATAAATCCAATGGTATTTGGAATGACACTCAAGATGGCTCCTTACCCTTAAATCTATACCTCCTTCCAATAACTTGAAAAGGATAAAGAGCATCAATTCATTCTCCAAATGCCTATTTAAATCCTATTGTATATTCAACACATTAGTAACATTTTTTGCAAAGTGATTAACAAAAGTAGGTGTCTTAACTTCTTGTGTCACAGCAATTGCAGAAGCAGTGATGCTAGCATTCAATGTAATTAAAGATGTTATAACAACAATAATCAAGCCCACTCCCCTCTAGCTTCTGCTTAAAGCCTGATTAATTTCTTCCAATACTTGCAAGCTATTCTTAGAATACCAAGGTTCTGTGATACTCAGGACACTAAAACAAAATCTGGATGACACACCTCTGTAACTTATTATTATTATAACTTCTCTTTTTGATTCTCTGTTCCAAAAGGTCTAAAACTTGAGGCAAGGCAGCTTGTTCCATCAGGGGTATAGGTAAGCAATGGTGGGTCGGGAACTTACGTCCAATACAGCTTCCCTGTCACTATTGTCAAGGCGCTCAACAAGCATACAAGTCAGCATCATTCTTTGTCCTGCTATCTGAATGTCTCACCCATCACTCTGGCAGCTACCATGCTCCTTCAGCATCCTGCAGAAAAAAACACAAACATGCCCTCTTCCCGATATTTAATACATGATCAGGAACATGCCTTATGCCAGTTAGTGGATCCTTCCCTTTCACCTATGCATAAGTATGCCTAGTTGTAGAGTGCCATAGACAAACAGCAGAAAGTTCCTTGGCATCCAAATTTAAAAAAAATTAAATTAAAAATAAAAAGAACATGATTAAAATAAATTTGTGGTGTATGCAGATATCTCCCCCTTTATTATTTTATGAAGATATTGTTTTAAAGGTCCATGGGGCTGTTTCACAATCTCTTTTCCTTGACAATTATAAGGAATTCCTGTAATATGGGTGTAGGACTGTGGAAATCCTGGGGTGTTTGGCCACGCCCACAGAGCCCAGAGACCTGACACGAGGTCTCCATGTAACATAAGGCCCAGGTAGAGGGCAGGGAAACAGGTCTCTGCCTCAAGATTTACTTAAAGGCCCTGGCCCTGCTCCTCTCCTACTTCCAATATAAACAAACCCCTTCTGGCATTTTTTGGGGAGAGCATGCCACCATTCAAGCCCATAACCATGTCAATAAATCTCCACATGTCTCTTAGAACTCTGGACTCATTGAATTTAAAGATCTGCATGCCTCTACTTTCTGATTGTTGGGATTAAAGATATGTTCTGTCATACCTGGACTTAAGCTTTTTTTTTAATCCCCTTTCACAGGTTGGAAGCTTAACTGGGTTGATTTCAAATTTTGCAACAGAACACTTTGGGAAAGCCTTTCCTGATCTCTCCTATCTATTGTGGATAGGGTCAGTCTTCCACTTTTAATTTTTCTTTTACCACTAATTGCTTTTTCACAGTCCCCAAATCCACCAAGCAACTCCTGTTAACCCATAGGCCAGGCATGCCAGAAAATAAAAAATGTTTCACAGAGACATTTCTTCTTCCATTGTTCCTTCAGATCTAACTCCTCAGACTCATCCCCAGCTCTGCATCAAAACACTTGTGGCAGTTTTCCCTGCCACCCTGCTTCCATCTTCTGTGACTCCCACAGACCTCCTCCTTCTAACTTTTCACACCTAGATTGTTGCTTTGACCCCCAACCTAACTCCACCATGTACCCCTTGCTAACTAATGGCTATTCCTCCCAGGGAAATGAGTGGGAAATAGGCAGTTTCACATATCTCCTTATGTTTCTGAGATACAATCTCCACAGTCATATCCCCAGCTCTTTAGGAGGAAATGTGCTATGGTCTGAACATTCTTTCTGATCTTGTTCTCAGAGGATCACAATGACCACCTTCAATCTTCTTTCTTCAACACATTGCAGTATTCTAGCCTCTAACATCAGGAGGTCTTTCTTCTGAAAACACCATCAGAACATGTCAAGAAAACAGACAACATACAGTAATCCCATCTTCAAAAGCCTGAGGAGAAACAGAAGTCAAGGGGAAAAAAATGAACAGAGACGTATCCAGAAACCATCATCTAGACATATAATCACCTCTAATCCAGATGCCTAGATAAAAACATACAAATAAAATCAATATCAGCCACGGAAATATATCTCTATTAGAGCCCAGATATTATACCACAGCAGGCCCTTAATATTCTAACATTACTGAAGCACACACATGGAAAGACAGAAAGACAGACAGAGAGATAAATACACACACACTCACACAGAGTGAAAGGAAATGAACAAAACTGCTCAAGACATGAAACTGGAAACAAAATCAATTAAAAACAAACTTAAGCAGTTCTGGAAAGAAAAAATTTAGGAATCTGAACAGGAACTATAGAGGTGAACTTTATGAACAGAATATAAGAGATGAAAGAGAGTCTTAGAGGTTAAAGGTAGGATAAAAAAATGGATACATCAGTCAAATTGTGTCAAATCTAAAAAAAAAATTCCTGAAACAAAATATCTAGGAAATTTGGGTAAGTATTAAAAGACCAAACCTAAGAATACTAGAATAGGGGAAACAAAAGAAAGACAGCTAAATGGCTCAGAAAATGTTTTCAACAAAATCATAGAATATTCTCTAACTTAAAGAAGGAGATACCTATAAAAGTACAAAAAGCACTCAGAACATCAAATAGATTGTGCCAGAAAAGACAGGCCTATGCTACATAATAATCAAAAGTTTAAAACATACAGAACAAAGAAAAAAATATTATAAACTGCAAGGGAAAAGGACCAAGTAACCTATGCTGTATCCTGCCTGGCCATGGGTGACATGACATGGTCCCACCCCTGTATCAGAGCTAGTAGGACATGGATCTCCATGAGTATTGATGACTTGTGTAATCATAAGGCTTCTTTCTGTATAATAATGTACATAATTTACTTTATGTTTCTCTTTTAGGAAATACTTTTCCTGCCGTGGTTAATGACTCCATGATAATTAGAAATAGCATGAAACCAGGGGGGAAGAGTATGTCTGGTGTTCATCTGCAAGGTGGTGAATGCTCTGACATTCAGCAAAGTCCTTAAGGGTAGGAGAAAGAAATCTAAAAATGAGAGTTCAAAAATATATATGTTCTCAATGATGCAAAAAATAAGAATGCACTATGAATTGTATGAGGAGCTTCATGGACTTGAAAAAACAAAGACAACTGTACTAATGAGCCAGCTTGTTAGAAAGAGACAATGCCAGGCAGATTTCTGAGTTTAAGGTTAGTCTGAGACAGAGAAAATTTAGGTCCAGCCATATTGCACCCAGCTAAATGTATTGTTTGAGCTTACAAAAGCAGGCAGATCTCTGAGTTCAATTGCTATGTTATAAAAATGTTCTTTCAGTCTTTTCTAAAAATCAAAGGGCTAAATTAACAAAATGCTTGTTTGTGGTATGATCAAAAGGGAAGATGGGGTGGATAATTTCATTGATATGCAAATAAAAGACTAGACTTTGTTCTGTAAGAGCTGAGCTGTCTGGATATCTATATGGAGAGCCATATCAGACAGAAGATTTGGCTCTCAACTTGAACCCATTATTGAATTTGAATCATTTTCTTTGCCACTCCAGAACACCCCTTTCTCAGAAGACCCTCTCCAAGATGAGGCTATTCTGTGCAAACATATAAAGGCAGACCTATTATAATCATACTTGATTTATCAAAGGGGACTCTAAGAGATGGAAGGCCCAGGACAGATATGCTGCAGAGTCTAAGAGATCACAAGTGCCAGCCTAGACTACTATAATTAGTAAAACTTTAAATCACTGTGGTGGTTTAAATATGCTTGGCCTAGAGAATGGCACTCTTAGGAGATGTGACCTTGTTGGAGTAGGTGTGGCCATGTTGGAGGAAGTGTCACTGTGAGGGTGGGTTTTGAGAGCTCCCTCATAGCTGCCTGGAAGACAGTCTTCTGGCTGTGTTCAGATCAAGATGTAGAACTCTCAGCTCATTCTTCAGCAGCAGATGTACCTGCACATTGCCATGCTTCCTGTCATGATGATAATGGACTAAACCTGTGAAACTGTAAGCAAGTCTCAATTAAAAGTCCTTTACTAGAGTTGCCTTGGTAATAGTGTCTATTCACAGCAATGGAAACGTTAACTAATATAGAAGTTGATACCAAGGTGTAGGGTATTGATGTAAATGGACTGACGATGCTTTTGTTTCGAAGAATATGGATTTGGGGACTTGGGGCCTAGCATATACAGACTGCCACAATCACCATAGAAAGAACATGAAGCGTCCATCTCTTGTACCCATAAAAGACTTTAAATGGAGGAATTAGAACATCAACTCAGCTACAAGAATTTTGACCAACAATTTTTCCTGCCTATAAGAGGTGCAGGATAAAGATGGATCAGAAATTGAGGAAAAAGGCTAACCAATGACTGGTTCAGCTTGAGACCCATGTGATGAGAGAAAGGCAGCTTACCACTGAAAAAAATTAATGTCGTTCTGCTATACTTCCAGACATGTCTCTAGCATAACTGTCATCTGAGAGGCTTTAAGCAACAACAGATGGGAACTGATATGGGGATCAATAGCCAAACATTAACTGGAGATTGGAGAAAACCTACAGTATCAACTGACCTGGGCCTTCTGGGACCCACAGAGACTGAATTGATAAACAGAGAACTTTCATGGGGCAGACCTAGACCCTCTGCACATATGGAATAGTTGTATATTTTGGCCTTAATTTGAGAATCCTAACAGCAGTAACAGGGGCTGTCTTTGATTCTGGTGCCTGTGCTTGGATTCCTTTCCCCTAATTGGGCTGCCTTGGCTCTCCACAATAGGAGATTTGCCTAGTTGTAATGCAACTTGATATGCTCAGCATAATGATATCCATGAAAGGCCTCTCATTTTCTGAGGATAAAGGGAGGACTGAAGGGTGGGGAGAAGTGAAGAGAGAGGGACTGGGATGAGAGGAGGAAGGAGGGAGGGGAAGCTTCAGTATGGATATAAAATAAAGAATAAGTTAATTAATTAGAAATGTGGGAAATATTTTAACTTAAAATTCAAGTCAGGTTTATAGAACCATAAATTATATGTAGCAAAATCTAGCTGTACTATTTATGGACTTCTTTGGCTTTTGAAAAAGCATGTTATTACTTGATTACTCATAATCAAAATTTCAAATATGTCTGACCATTAGAGTGTTTTAAATATGAAAAGAGTGAGAAACCAGGCCTCTTACACACACACACACACACACACACACACACACACACACACACCAATCTTACTAAAACTTCAAGAAGGGTACTTTGCAAAGTCATGTAAGGAGGTTACTCTAGTGGTCTTGGCACTGTACTGAGTAATCAGTGGTAATAATAAATGACCCTTTGCTAGTACTCAATCATAGTTAAGGTTAAATAAAATGGTTGCCCTCAGTGTGAGGGTTTGTGCAATGAATCGATATGTGGGTGCCAGGGAAGAACTCACAGGACATTAAAAGGATACCAAATCTGCTTTTGTGAGACCTCTGAGTCATAACTAATAATTTTGCCTTAGGCTAGAATTACCAATAAGAAGGATGATTCCATATACACTTCAAAAGGGTGTTAGGAGTTTTTAATTTTCTACATCAAACTGGTTTAAGGTTAGACTTCCCTCATTGGTTTAATGTGAGAAGTGGATTAAACCGCCAGAGATTGTATTGGAATCTCCAGGAAGCTTTTTTTCCTTTCTCTCATAATTTATTTTTTTATTCACATTATATCCTAGTTGCAGTCCGTCCCTCTTCTCCTTCCATTTCTCCCCTGACAATGTGATTCTTGCAACTATTATTTATTTGTTGTGGATTGTACTGGTGTTGTTGTTTTCATTGAATATTTTATTTATTTACAGTTCAGAAGTTATCCCCTTTCTCCATTTCTCCCATTCCCAGAAATCCCCTATCCCATCCCTTTTCCTCCTGCTTCTATGATTTTGATGCTAATTCTGCTTCTCCAAGAGGGGCTGCCTGGGATGAGGAGTGAATTATGTACTCAGGTGACTTCAAGTGAACCTTCCAATAATGAATAAAAATTTCTAGGAACCAATCAGTGGGAGAGTAGGTTGGATTTCCAGGTTGGAGAGAGAAAGAGGGAAAGCAGGAGATGGACTTTTGGATGGGAGAGTGGATGGAGGACAATATGTAGGTAGGGAAGGCCACTGGTTCAGGTGGCAGAATTCCTAGGATCCACTACCAGAAGATTTGTACCTTAGAAAAGGTTACAAATTAGGATGCTAGTTACTGCACCCAGTGATTTTTGATTCTAATCTAAGTTTGTGTGGTGTTTTCTTTCATGTATTGACTCAATTAGGTTCGAGAGAGAAAGGTACTGCAGCAAAGCATGAGGTTGCAAGAAGCACACCCCAACTAGCTGTGGGAATTTTGAAGGGTGTAGCAGGAGTGGCAGAGATCTGCCATAGAATCTTAGCTAGCCAGGTGTAAAGATTTCAGTGCTCTGGCTCACAGTGTCTGCTGGGCTGAGATCAGGCCAGCCTGTTCACTGATGCTTTGCGAGTGGTACGGTGGATTGCCTTTTAAAAATATTTCACGCTACATCCATTGAAAAATATGTCTGCTTTTATGCCAATCCCATACAGGTATATTAATGGAATAGAATTGAAAATCCAGATATAAACTCACAGGCCTACGGACACTTGGTTTTGGACAAAACAGCTAAAAACATGTAATAGAAAATGAAAAGGATCTTCAACACCTGGTGATCTTCTAACTGTAGATCTACATGTAGAAGAGTGAAAATAGACATGTAGAAGAGTGAAGAAATGTAGAAGTAGAAATAGAAATGTAGAAGAGTGAAAAATAGTAGGTTAGCCAAATGCTGTTTGTACTCTAATGTTAAGTTTCTGGGAATCTTGCCCCAGTTAATTCCAATTTGTAAATAAAGATGTCAACAGCCAACAGTGGCAGACAAGAGGCTTAGGCAGAGTTTTAGGTTTCCCAGGCTTGGGACCTCACAAGCAATTTCCTCAATCCATTATTTACCATTATGTGGATGATATTCTATTGACTGATTCAGATATAAATATCATGGAAAGAACGTTTGATAAAGTAAAAAATAAAAATAAAACAAAACAAACCTTTGCATTGATGGAGATTACGAATTGCTCCTGAAAATGCAAAGAGGGAATTCTATTAATAATCTAGGTTATACAATAAGTCTACAAACATTTGGCTATCAATACCGTGCAGTTTTTATTACTATTTCTTTATAATACAGCTTGAGCTCAAGGACAGTGATTTTCTCAGAAGTTTGATTATTGTTAAGAACGGTTTTTGCTATCATGGGATTTTGTTACTCCAAATGAATTTGAGAATTGCTCTTTCTAACTCTTTGAAGAATTCAGTTGGAATTTTGATTAGGATTACATTGAATATGAAGCCTGGTTTCATTAAAATGATCATTTTTCCTATGTGAATTCTGCCAATTCATGAGCAGAATTCTTCTCCATCTTCTGAGGTCATCTTCAATTTCTTTCTTCAGAAACTTGACATTCTCGTCACACAGATCTTTTACTTGCTTGGCTAGATACACACCAATGTATTTTATATTATTTGTGACTATTGGGAAGGATGTCATTTCCTTAATTTCTTTCACAGCCTGTTTATACTTTGAATAGAAGAAAGCTACTGATTTGAGCTAATTTTGTTTCCAGCCACTTTGCTGAAGTTGTTCATCAGGTTTATGTGTTCTTTGGTGGAATTTTTGGTGTCACTTAAGTATACTATCTTTTCATCTGAAAATAGTCATATTTTGACTTCCTCCATTCCAATTCATATTCTTTTGACCTCCTTTTGTTTTTTAATGTTTCTAGCTAGAACTTCAAGTTCTATATTGAATAGATAGTGAGAGAGGGAGCAGCCTTGTCTAGTACCTGATTTTAATGGAATTGCTTCAAGTTTCTCTCCATTTAGTTTGATTTTGGCTACAGGTTTGTTGTATAATGCTTTTAATATGTTTAAATATGGACCTTGAATTCCTGATGGTTTCAAGATTTTTCCCATGAAGCAATGTTGAATGCTTAGAATGTTGTCAAATGCTTTTTCAGATTCTAATGAAATGATCATGTGGTCTTTTTCTTTGAGTTTGCTTATATAATGGATTATGTTGATTTATTTCTGTATATTGAACCATCCTTGCATCCCTGGGATGAAGCCTACTTGATTGTGGTGAATGATCATTTTGATGTGTTCTTCAATTCAGTTTGCAAGAATTTTATTGAGCTTTTTTTGCAACGGTGTTCATAAGGGAAATTGGTGTGAAGTTTTCTTTCTTTGTTGTGTCTTTATTTGGTTTAGGTATAAACACAATTCTTTCTTCATAGAATAAATACGGGTGTGCCTCCTTCTGTTTTCATTCTGTGGAACAGTTTGAAATGTATTTGTGCTAGGCCTTCTTTGAAGGACTGATAGATTTCCTTACTAAACCCATCTGGTTCTGGTTTTTTTTTGGGGAGGGGGTTGGGAGAATTTTAATTACTGCTTCTATTTCTTTAGAGTTTATGGAACTGTTTATGGCTTATCTGATCCTGATTTAATTTTACCAGATGGTATCTGTTTAGAAAATTGTCCATTTTATCCAGATTTTCCAATTTCTCTGACTATAGACTTTTGTAGTAGGCTCTGATGATTTTTGAATTTCCTCAGTTTTTGTTATGTCTCCCTTTTTGTTTTTTATTTTATTAATTTGTATACTTACAGAGACAGGCAGGTAGATTAATGAAATAACCTTGAAGACCCAGAATTAAACCTTGTACCTATCGTAACTTGATCTTTGACAAAGGAGTTAAAACCATACAATGGATAAAAACACAGCATTTTCAAGAAATAATGTTGGCTGAACTGGGGTCAGCATGTAGATGCACATTGTTCCATTCTTATCTTCTAGTACATAACTCAAGTCCAAAGGGAGTATGGACCTCCACATAAAACCAGATACACTGAAACAAAGAGAAGAGTAAGAGGGGAAGACCCTTGAACACATGGGCACTGGGGAAATTTTCCTGAACAGAATACCAATGACTTATGCTCTGAGATCAAGAATTGACAAATGGGACCTCATAAAATTGCAAAATTTCTGTAAGCAAAAGACACTCTCTATAGGACAAAATACCAACCAAAACATTGGGAATGTTTGGAGCACACCCTCACAAAAATTAGGAGGAAGGGATATGGGATAAGGGGTTTTGGGGGAGAATGGGAGAGGAGATAACATTGAAAGGTAAATTCATATAATATCCAATAAAAAAAACCCCAACACAGATAAAGGGTCTAAAAAAAAAGAGAGGGAGAGAGTTTACTTATTTTAAATTAATTTCAAAAGTTTCTAGGAGTTGCTAATTGGCTAAGATCCTATTTGAAGCTCTCCATAAAAGAATTTAAGTCTCTGTTCAATATTCTCAAGAGAGAGGTAAACCCTAATTTTCCTCAACAATTAATTGACAAAAGAGAGGTAATCTCACAAAAAAGTAGAAGAAGCTATTACTAATCGATATATTATATAGTCTGATTAGTTGTCAGTGGTGCTATAACAGTCCTTTGACAAAAAATTATTAATATAGATTTATATATCCTTAAATAGGGTCTTCATGACTCTCTGAGTGTGGAAGGAGTGACTGTTGGCGCTTCTGCCCTGATTTTACAAGAACACTGAAAAATTGGCTTTAAAAACAAAAGAGGGGGAAACGGTACCCCCTCAGAAGGAGTCCCCCTGAAATACTCTTCCATCATACCTTGTTCACTTTTATCTCTCTAAAGCTGAAAGCTCATGGCAAATCTGCTGCTGACTGCCTCTGGCACCACCAAGACCAATGAAACTTTGCCACAGATATGGGGAAGGACCCTCTTACCCTTAAAGGGAATGGCCCAGACCCAGTTCCCTTATGAGGCCGAGGACTGATATGCCTGTCCAATACCACAGAAGGCACAGCTAACCGGATACCAAAAGGATTAATGAAAAAAACAGATACCCCCCACAAAGCCAGGCCCAACCATAAATAAGATGAATAAAATTTACATCCAGGGAAGAGAAATCTCCCTGAAAATCCCCTTCTTTTTCCTTTCCAGGTAAAATTGAATCACCCGTGATGTCTGCTGTTAGAAGTTCTAATCCAGATGCTGGCCTCCGAACTTATACTACTCAGACCTTTGAAGGGCCACTGACAAGAACATCAAACAGCTAGAGATTGACATGACTAATCTGAAGAAATCCCTCGTTACGCCGTCTGAAGAGACCTCCTAAAATCGCAAAGATCCTTAATGGACTTGATTTACTCTAGTACAATAGAAAAGACTGTATACAGCTCTTGACTGTGTACAACCCTCAAAGAAGAAGGTTGCCTTTACATAGACAAGACAAGGAGGGTTAAAGAGAGCATGCAATAGGTAGCGAAGCCTAAGAAAAAATCAGAGAGAGAGAGACAGATGAATGCTGGTACAAGAATTGATTTGCAGCCTCTCCAAGGTTGTCAACCCTATTTCCTTCCATCTTGGGACCATTATTTGGGTTATTTTTGCTTTTTTCTACTGGTTCCTGGCTCTCAAATAGGCAGACTAACTCTGTGATACAACAGATAAATAATTTGGTAGCAAAACCTACTCAGATACATTATCATAAGTTAGCTATGGAGGACCAAGAGACTCAAGATGAGGTTGTTACTTTATACAGGGTATTTCCAAAACCCATCTCCACCCAACCTTCTGCCCCTAGACAAAGCAGTGAGGGGCCACCCAGAATCCCCTCTGACAGGCGATCTGAATTCTTGCTTAGGCTGCAAGGCTAAGCACTGCAAGGGAATATAAATAAAAGATAAAAATATCTATCGGGGTTTCCTGAGGGACAAGCCTGACTACATAGGGGTTGATGTCAAAAGTATCCCCTCTCCAGGAAAAAGACATCGGGATGGGTATGGCCCTCATGCCTCACTGGACAACGACAGGGGGACTGGAGCCATTACAAGGTCCCCTTCAAATACTGGAGGTCAGGCCTCTATCCCCGCCTTCTCAAGTTTAGAATTGCCATAGCCCTTCTATACTTAGAGAATGGAGGAGATGTCATGGGCAGCCCTGCTAACACACTGTAGGCCTAAAATCAGCCATAGGCCTAAATTCAGCAATAGGCCTGTCATACATGTATACTAACACCAAGTCTTGGGTCTCAGTGGAAAAACATTGAAACAGATAGGTATAAGCTAATGTCAACAGACAGCTTTTGTGGAAATTTATAAGCCTGAATGGTCATAGACCTTGTAAATAGGTAACCTTGTCAGACAATACCAACTTAGATAAGGACAATCGAGTCATAGGCAGAGTCATAGTGACTTTTCCCCTGAACCTTCACCCAGCCGATACCCGGTTCTGAAGATATCTGTATTCCCCCTGAACACGCATACTCCAATTTTCATTCCCTTCCCCACATCCTGCCTTTCTGTGTTTATAACCCCTATGTGAATTAATTATGATTTGAGAAAAAATTTTAAAAAAAGGGAAAAAAAGACACTGTCTATAGGACAAAATAGCAACCAAAACATCGGGAACATATCTTTAACAGTTCTACATTCCATAGAGGGCTAGTTTTTAATATATACAAAGAACTCACGAAATAAGACTACAGACAAACAAATAACCATATTAAAAAATAGTAACCAGGGCTAAAAAGAGAATTCTGAACTGAGGAAACTCAAATAGCAGAGAAGCACCTAAGGAACTCTTCAACATCCTTAGTCATCAGGGAAATGCAAATGAAACAACCCTGAGATTCCACCTCACATCAGTAAGAATGACTAAGAGCAAAAACCCAGATAATAGCAGATGCTGGCAAGGATGTGGAGAAAGAGTAACACTCCTCCTTTGTTGGTGAGATTTCAACCTGGTACAACCACTCTAGAAATCAGTCTGGCAGTACCTCAGAAAATTGGACATAGTATTATCTGAAGACCCAGCTATTTAACTTCTAAGCATATACTCAAAATATTCTCCAACATGTAATAAGGCCGCATGTTCCACTTTGTTCATAACAGCCTTATTTACAATAGCCAGAAGCTGGAAATAACCTAGATGTCTTTTAACAGAGGAATGGATAGAGAAAATATGGTAGATTTACACAATGGACTACTAATCAGCTATTAAAAACAATGACTTCCTGGTTAATACTTGTTTAATTTCCATAGTTTCACATGTAGAAACTTTTGGCATGTCCAATCTCAGTAAAGAAAACCTCCAAATAAATGACTTATTTAAATAAAAATAAAATGTTTTTAAGTTGGAATTCTATGAAGTAAATTGGAATTTGCTGATAATACACAATAAACTAGCAATCAAAGAAGGAAATATTTGATGACTCAAGAATCCATGTTGCTAGGGTAAAGAGATGACTGTCAAATATGGAGAGATATTAGTAGTACTGTATTGCATAGGCAGAGGACCTGAGATCAGTTCCTAGGACCCTAAACAAGAAGTTTACAGCTACATGAAACTTCAGGTCCCATGGAAACAATTCACTCTTCTCACCTCTGAAGCTATTATAAACAGAAAAGTATACATACTACCACCACCACTACTGTTGCTACTACTAATATTAGTAACACTATGTTTTATTTTTAAAAGTCACCTTCACAATTCCACAATGGTATTTATTTTATGACCACATTCAGTTATTCACATATTGAACAACAGGAACATAAACATCAGTGTTCATATAATATTTAAATTTTTGAAAACTTATTCCCATGGGAACATCCCTGGAGGGAATCCAGCCATTTTCTCCTGGAATACTTTATCAAAGGCTTCAGCTTGGGCTACTGTGAAGTGATTCTTCCAGTCCCCAGTTGTGCCTGGAAAATGTGAATCAAATACAAAGGTGGATTAATAATGGTCTTAACACTACTCTAGCTCCTCTCATCATGTGCTCTTACCATCTGTTTGATAAAGAGCACACAGTTAATAGAACAATCTACAGTTTTCTGTAGAAACCTTCCACATTCCTGAAATCATATACACAGATTTCTCCCAGCCCAGAAATTATGTCCCACATTTTCCTCTCCCAAACTATATACCAGACAATCTAACAGGATCAACACTGGTTTGACCTTTTTATATATCCAGATTATTCCTGCTTCCCACCAAACCTGTTTCCATCACACTATTGAACTCAACAGTGTTTATCCTCTCAATGATCCAAACCGACTTCATAGTATTTACTTATAGAAGTTCTTCACAACGTGTAAACAACCTTTAAATAATATCTTAAAATAGTTTTTACTTTTGTGTATGTGGGTTAACATGAGTGCTACAGATACACACAGTAATGATCAGTAGTTCAGCTGTCTTGATTTTCCCACCAGATATACACAGCCACTTCCAGCTGAGAGCATCACCTCTGTTTGACTCAGCCATGGTGTTTTGTGATGGACGAAGGTCTGTATAATTTGAGCCCCTGTCCTTTATAGCACTGTCTTTTCTGACCATAAATAGGTTTTCACCACTTCATTCCAGGGGGTCTTCAGTTTAAGATTTAGAAATTGTCCAATTTCTCATTCTCTGTTGTGTCCTCCTTCAACTCAGATGGCAAATATCTTTTATATAATTACATCTTTCTCTTTGTCTTTTTATTAATAACACTGTAAATGTCTCTATCGTTCCTCCATTTGCAATCAACCAGCCCCCATTCTTGATTTATTTTCCAGCTGTGTCACTGTGATATGTTCCATTAACTTCTGCTTTGAATATACACACAGAACATGCATCATATATGTTTAAAAAGAAAGTGTTTTTAAAATTACTATGTGATTCCTTTTGCAAAGAGTGCCAGATATATTGGCCATACTAAGTGTGTGATTATTTTAATGAATCCATGAATACATGAGAAAGGTGTAAGCAGTGTACCTATTTTGGTGATGAGGAAAAATTAGTCTTTGAGATGTTACCAAGAATGATAATGATGAATGAAGATGAGAATGTGAATGCAAAATGATTGAAAATAGAAGTAATGCTTTTCTTTATTACATTACTGTCTTTCTGTATCATGACATAAATTAATTTTAATACTCTGTAGGCTGTATTGAAGAAAATGTAGCCAGTTCCATTATTTGTTTGTTTGTTTTTCTTTTTCTTTTTTATTATTGGATCCTTTAATTATCTATATTTCAGATGTTATCCCCTTCCCCAGTCCTTACCCCCAGAAACTCCTTAACCCATTGTCCCTCCTCCTATATCTCTGAGAGTATACCCCACCCCACCCACTCTCTCTCACCTCCCCTCCCTCGAATGTATCCTCACTGAGACATCCAGCCTTCAAGGGACCAAGGCCCTCCTCTCCCACTGATGCCTGACAAGTCATCTTCCTCTACAAATACAGCTGGAGACATGGGGCCCTCCATGTTTGTTCCCAGGGTAGCTGTTTAGACACACAGAGCTCTGGTTGGTTAATATTGTAGCTCTCCCCATGGGGCCACAAGCCCCTTCAACTCCTTCTGTCTTCTCTCTAACTTTTTCACTGTGAACCCTGTGGTCAGTTTGACGGTTAGCTGTCAGCATCGGCCTCTGTATATGTCAAGCTCTGGCAGTACCTCTCAGGAGACAGGTATATCAGGCTTTTGTCATCATGCACTTTTGGACATCCACAACAGTGCTTGGATATGGTGATTGCATCTGGGAGGGAATTCCAAGTGAGGCAGTCTCTGGATGGTCTCTACAACAGTTTCTGTCCCACATATTGTCTCATATTTGCTCCTGTGAATATTTTGTTACTCCTTCTAAGAATGAGTGAAGCACCCACACTTTGGTTTTTCTTTTTCTTGAGCTTCATGTGGTTTGTGAGTTCTGTCTTGGGTATTGTGTGATTTTGGGCTAATATCCACTTTTCAATAAGTGCATACCATGTGTGTTATTTTGTGACTCGGTTACCTCACTCAAGATGATATTTTCTTGTTCCATCAATTTGCCTAAAAATTTCATGAATTCATTGTTTTTAGTAGCTGGGCAATATTCCGTTGTGTAAATGTACCAAATTTTCTGTATCCATTCCTCTGTTGAAGGACATCTGTGTTCTTTCTAGCTTCTGGCTATTACAAATAAGGCTTCTATGAACACAGTGGAGCATTTGTCATTGTTATATTTTGGAGCACCTTTTGGGTATAAGCCCAGGAGTAGTATCGCTGAATAGACAGGTGATATTATGTCCAATTTTCTGAGGAACCTCTAGAATGATTTCCAGAGTGGTTGTCACACCTTACCATCCCACGAACAGTTGATGAGTCTTGCTGTTTCTCCACATCCTTGCCAGCTTCTTCTGTCATCTGAGTTTAATCTTAGCCATTCTGACTGGTGTGAAGTGGAATCTCAGGGTTGTTTTGATTTGCATTTTCCTGATGACTACAGATATTGAACATTTCTTTAGGTGCTTCATGGACATTTGATATTCCTGAGTTGAAAATTCTTAGTTGAGCTCTGTACTCCTTTTTTAATAGGGTTATTTTATTGTCTGGAGTTTAATTTCCTTGAGTTCTTTGTAAATTTTGAATATTAGGCCTCTAGCAGATGTAGGATTGATAAAAATCTTTTCTCAATCTGTGGTTGGTTCTTTTGTCCTATATATGGTGTACCTTGCCTTATAGAGGCTTTGCAATTTTATGAGGTCCCATTTGTCAATTCTTGATCTTAGAGTTTAAGCCATTGGTGTTTTGCTCAGGAACTTTTCCTGCCATGGGCCAGACCTGCCTTGAGGGGAACCTTCTTCTTCTTATCTGTTTTTCTTGAGGCAGCACAGGAGGAAGAATGTTGGTGGGTGTAAGCCTTGGTCTTAAGAGATTCCAGGTATTACTTTGGTCTTACAAGATATTTAGGGTTCCTATATAATGAAAGTTTACTTATCTTTTATTTATTTACTTTGGTACTGTAGCTGACCTCCCTTCTGTGATCCTCTGAGGCCAGAAACTGTAGTTTCTTGCATTTATCACCTCATCCCAAAACAGCAAAGGATTAAGTAAATAGCCTTTGTACTGTCTCAGCAGGAACTTCTGGGCTCTAACTTATGCCTGCTAGTCTGAGGTAGTAGGAAGAAATAACACTTAGAGAGGTTATTATAGAGTATATTATTAAGTGTAAAAGTTTCCTATAAAAGCTATCTAAGGGCAAAAGTGGAAAGGTCCTAGGTGGGGAAAAAGAAAAGATTCTAGTAAGGGAAAAGTTCTAAGGGAAAAAATTCTAGGCAGGGGAAAAGGAAAGAAAGGACGGATGACTCTCTCTCTTTTTCTTCAGTACTTATACATCTTTCAGAATACATGATCACATATTTCGAAGTTCATCACAAATTCACACCAAAAATCAAACCATAAATTTAAATAGAAGTTTACAACAGAGAATGTTTACATGCATATTCATTAGGAGTAATTATCTGGCTTACTTGTCTTACTCCACAGGTTCACTGAAAGTTTCAAACTATAATTAAGAAATTAGTGAAATTTAGTATAGATAAGCACAGTCAATATTTCATCTTCTGTCCTAGCACCTATAATAAATCATTAGTTCCCTTTTAGTGACATTTGGTTAATTGTTTTACAACCTCTTGGAATGTGCTCTTAGTATGAGAAAGTCTGGATACTCTGTAAGAGCAATTTACTGGTGACATTTGGGAGACTGGTAGGGTTCTCATTGCAGTTTTAACTATCAGAAAGGGACCTAATAGCACTACCACTATAAAAGAGCCTAATATTCATTGATATAACTTTAGGAACTCTTATATGATCATCATTAAGACTTAAGATGTCATCTATTTGTCTATATAGCATTACCACAAGAGAGTACATCTTTGTGGATCTGCATAGATCTGCTCCAAAGGGGAGTAACTATTGCGTAGTGATTGTTACATATGTTTAATAATAATAGGAGAAGCATATCAATAGCAAGAATCTTTGCTAAAATAAGTCTCTTACAGCCTTGGGGAATAAGGTCTCACTTGTCACAGATTATATAATAATCCAAGGCAAGCCATGTCAGGATGATCATCTGCTAATTATTAGCTTGTCCCATTATGGCTTCTGACATTTTCCCCTGTGCCCATGTGTTTGAGGCTCTTCCCCACTTTCTCTTCTATTAGTTTCAGTGTGTCCAGTTTCATATGGAGGTCCTTGATCCACTTTGACTTGAGTTTTGTACAAGGAGACAACAATGGATCCATTTGCATTTTCATACATGCTGATCTCCAGTTCAACCAGCATCACCTGTTGAAAGTACTGTCTTTTGTCCATTGTATGGTTATAGTTCCTTTGTCAGAGATCAAGTGACTATAGGTACCTGGGTTTGTTTCTGGGTCTTGTTTTCTATTCCATTGATCTTCGTGTCTGTTTCTGTACCAATACCATGCAGGTTGGTTTTGTTTGTTTGATTGTTTGTTTTTATCACTATTGCTCTGTAGTAGAGCCTGAGGTCAGGGATGGTGATTCCACCAGATGTTCTTTTATTGTTGAGAATTGTTTTCACCCTCCTGGGTTTTTTTTTTATTCTTCTTTGTTATTCCAAATGAATTTGAGATTTGCTCTTTCTATCTCTGTGAAGAATTCAGTGGGAATTTTGATAGGGATTGCATTAAATCTGTAAATTGCTCTTGACAAGATGGCCATTTTGTTGTTTTTACTATATTAATCCTTCCAATCAAAGAGCATGGGAGATCTTTCCATCTTCTGATATCTTCTTCAATTTCTTTCTTCAGCGACTTGAAGTTCTTGTCCTACATATCTGTGGCTTGCTTGGTTAGATTCACATGAGCTATATTATTGTGAAGGGTGTCGTTTCCCTAATTTCTTTCTCAGCTTGCTTATCCTTTAAGAGGAGGAAA